GCAGGCTACACGGACCAACATCGCTGACCATCAGTTCAGCTTGCAACAAGCTGTGCATGTGGAGGTGAACGTCACACTGCGCTGAAAAGGTAATCATTTTCATGTCAAACATTAACCAAAACTCTTCACTCAGATTGCAATTATGTGCATGTAGACCAGTACCTGTAAATGAAAGGTAGATGCTAAACAGAGGACTGAGGGTGAGTTCCCATCTCAGCATCTGCAGTGTAGAAAATAGACTGCCGTAGACTGTGCACGAAGTGCAGGCCGAAATAGACCGATAGAGACGAAGCTGAAGTGTAGTCGTCCACGCTACGAATATGACAGAGGAAGTAATTAGCATGCACTGGTGTGAATAGTCCAGTGCATCAAGTAGCATGACCAAACATCTTCCGCACCCTCTGGCAGGAAATTGTTTGCAATGACTAGTAAATAATTGGTCAAGCTATGCCGGGATTCGCTAACATCGAGTTTTGATATCAGGGGAAACATTTGCTATTTCCCAAACATATTGGCTTCCACTAGCTGTAAGTGCTCACTTCTCATACGGCGTGGATTCAAATACACAATGAACGGAGCAGAGCATCACATACACCCCGGACCACACCAACGAGCCGCTTGACCCAGTGTTCAGAACGGCCATCCAGTGATTGCTGGTGTATGTCATGAACTCACCGGCAGACTTCCACAGGCACTGCAGTGGCTCCCTGGTGAGTGGGCACGGGGAAGGAAGTAGGCGACCACGCTACACAGCAGGCAGCTAAACAAAATTAATAATAATTATACTAACATACACGCACTGTGTTTGCATACATGTAGCTGACAGCCACATGACGCCGGACAGTGGTTGAACACTACAGTCACGTCACTGAATGCTTTCTGTAAGAATGACCGGGCTGGAATTGATCCCCAGACTACATGTATTCAGTCAGCGCATTCCACTGAAGAAAACAAGGCGGAACAGCCACCTGCCGAGCTAAACACGTCTTGCCTGCATTCCCATAATTCTGAAGTTTAATGTAGTATGGTTCTAGGCAAAGGAGGGTAGGGGCCGGTGGTGGGGGGGGGGGGGGGGTTCTGAGGCAAAGGAGGGTAGGGGCCGGTGGTGGGGGGGGGGGGGGGGTTCTGAGGCAAAGGAGGGTAGGGGCCGGTGGTGGGGGTGGGGGGTTCTGAGGCAAAGGAGGGTAGGGGCCGGTGGTGGGGGGGGGGGGGGTTCTGAGGCAAAGGAGGGTAGGGGCCGGTGGTGGGAGTGGGGGGTTCTGAGGCAAAGGAGGGTAGGGGCCGGTGGTGGGGGGGGGGGGGTGGGGGGGGGTTCTGAGGCAAAGGAGGGTAGGGGCCGGTGGTGGGGGGGGGGGGGGGGTTCTGAGGCAAAGGAGGGTAGGGGCCGGTGGTGGGGGGGGGGGGGGGTTCTGAGGCAAAGGAGGGTAGGGGGGGGGGGGGGCGGGCGCGCAGCCCCTCCTTTAATTGAGCGCCCCCTGTGAAAATGCCCCCCCCCCCCCCTCCTTACAGTGCATTCAGAAAAAGATGGACTTCTAGCGTTTGGCCATAAATGGGTCACACTTTGAGTTTAAAAAATATATTTATGGCAATCCCCATTGGAATACTCTTCCAATTATGTTTCTGAAGTCTATTTCTCCAAAAGCAAACCGTAACGAGAATAGGATTTCGGCCAGCTTTTGCTCCAAAAACACGGAATTGGGAAAATCCAAGCCGTTTCACTATTTTTGCAACAGTACATTGTGCGGTTCGAACCCCATTGGAGGCACCTTTTTTGGACCCTTTTTCAAGTTCCAAGTATCGGGGCACTGCACCATGTACGATAAAATCGCCAAAAACGGGAGCTCGCCAGAGCCAGGGCCGATCTCTAAGTTTCATGAATGGACTGTACTCATTTCCTTCCCTGTAACACAATAACAAATTCGCTGCCTTGTCATTGAGCATTTGTGCTCATTTGGATTTGCAAATTCAAATAAAATATACAAACAAACAGTGGTGGACAGTTACTCTTTTAAAAGAGTCGTATCCATACATGTAGTGAGGCTGTAAACAAACAAACAAACGTTTGTCGATTTTTGTGTTTTTTTTCGGGCAATTCCACGAAAATGCAGTCGATAATTACTAACAGAGGCTTCATAGAGGCACACTTGCCTGTGGTGAAATCGGGGATTCGCCCCTGTATGTTGCATTTTGCATGGCAAGACAGTTTTGGAAAATGGAGAACGGGTTACAGGGTAACTATTTCCGAATATAATTCCAAGGTGTCCTGTATCCATGGCAAGGCTTCCGAAACAAAAAGCACCTTCTAGTATAGAGGTGGAACTCGGATTTTGAGCCAATGTAATCATGGATAAAAGGAAGGATAAAAATGTTCAATGATGATGATGATGATGAGTTATGACTACCGTAAGACCAGTAATGTTAACGAACATTTAATTCTAACGAGTTATAAACGAAATTGAAAAAATCGTTAAATTTGAAGTCGTTATTAGGGTCCAGCGGATAATGCCGGCATTATATTCGGCATTATGAGACTATCCGGGCGTCAGAGCATTATGGAGCATTAGAAAGGAACAAGAGGTGCAACGCCACGTACTGTACCGGCACATGGATTTGTGATCTTGTAGACACGTAACACATTCAGCACTAATGCTACATTTCCCTGACTACATACATGTAATGCTACATTAAGTCTTTATGTAGCAATGTATTATTATTATTATTATTTAAAAAAAACGAAGGTAAGTTTTGGGTCGCAAGTATCCACGCAAACACACATCCAGTCACAATAAGGCATTTGTCAAAAGTATCCGAACGTTTTCGGTCCCTTCTCATCAAGGAATATACAGGGAATGGCTCAAGTTGGAAAGACTAAAACATATATAGCGTAAAGATAATGAGATAACAACACTCGTGACAAGGTGGAAAATTATCAAGTTCAGCATGACACAAAACTCGAAGGAAAATAATAATAGTGACAACAACATAGTGAGCAAATTAAGTTACATTGTTAACACCTCGACGAGGAGTAACACCAAGCGTAGCGACAACACATTTTCTTTCTGTACGCAAAGTTAAGGATCTAACTTACGGATATACAAAGCTTCTAACGCAGCCAAATGCAACGCACATCTACCACGTGACAATATTGAGAAAACATTATCACTGTACAACTCGCGACAATTGGTACGGGCTGACAGATGTTGCTTGATTGACGAAGTGCGATTCTTAGCTCCGTTGGGTGTTGTCTCCTCCAATGTCCCGTCATCTCGCCTCTTCGTGGCATCACCACTATCCGTCTCTTCGCGTTTCCGCGGCCTTCCACGTTTCCTGACACTAGCCCTTGGATGCGCGATGCCCAGTGTCCTTTCAGCTTCGTCTCCTCCATTGTGGATTTCTATTGAGCTTCTTACTCCAACTTGTGCGATAATGAGGTTCGTTTTCGCGGTCTACCACGTTTTCGAATATTGACTGTTGTTGTCACTTCCGTTGTCGTTGTATGTGCGCCCTTACCAGTCCGTATTTTTACTTGGCTTCGCGTAACCCTTCCCGACGCCGACAGATCCTTTGTCAGTTTCGGTGGTTTACGTGTCGGTCTTTCACCATCTTTCACGCTGTTCTCAGCTGGCCCCTGCCCTACACACTCAGAGGGGGACGGGCATGCAGTCACATCTTCGCGGGAAGAGGAAGATCCACCGATGGACTGGACAGCACATTTTGGAGGACGACCACGGCGAGGACGGCACTCGCGCGCATCAAGCGGATATTATTATTATTATTATTTTAGAATTGCGATCAACAGAACGAGCTGAACCGACATTTCACAAAGGCTTTTATTGTATTCAAAAAACGAGTGGATACGAAGGCAGTGAAGAACATGGAAGAAAGAAAAAATGTGATATGGAGAAAATGATGAACAAAAAATCGTACTTCGAACTAGTTTTCGCACAACACTCCTCAGGAAGCTACGTTGTACTAATGAAAAACAATCCAGAAAGATACTAATAAAGAGAAATGGAGTGAGAAGAAACAACACCTATGAAAATGATAATCCTAGCACTAAGGTAATAACAGGAAAAACTGCGAAAGCACTTAACGAACTTGTAAAGACTACTAGTATACTGTGACACAAGATATGACACCATGGCCAACCAGGGCCAAACAAACAGAACAAGCTGCTACTATAACAATTTCAAACGAATAATGCTGTCCTTCTGGACACACAGATTAGGCTTATGAATACGTTGACAAACAGCTTCTAACACACTCAACTGCAACTTATAACCATGACGAGCACGGCACAAAACAGAAAAAGAAGAATCAGAATACACCTTGCAGCAATCAGGACGAGATACAAGATGCTTATACACTGATGACTTCCTACTAGAAAACACACGCTCGCATCCACTCTTACTCACACAATCATTCTCGCTCTCACACTCACCAGTTTTTCCGCAAACAGAGCAGGGGAGGGAGCGCTGCCCCCCCCCCCCCCCCCCTTGGCTAGAACCCTGACTATGTACAGTAGTCGCGCATCCAAGAATGTTGTTTCCAAGGGGTTAGCCTGGGACGTTCTTATTTTTCCGCAATCTGGCTGCGTTCTTATAGCACGTTCTTAGAAACAATCCGTATCGGATCATATGTATTCCACAAACTGCCAGAAAACCAACACCGCCGTTCTTAGCTTTACGCTGTTGCGTTCTTAGCATTTCAGGCTGGACGTTCTTCAGCGCGCGACTCTACTGTATACACATTCATACTGAAAAGTAGCACACAGTGGGTACTACAATTATAGTAAGCTGGTGCACACTTTCAGGATGCTGTACATCTGTCAACATGCAGAACATGTATTCAGATCTGAATTCATCATTTCAGCGTATGCTTCAACGCTCCCACCAATCTGTGTTTGCACGCAAACAGAGCATCTTTCAGCCACCCCACAAGCACACAACTTCACAAGCGCAACACACACAACACACACTCACACACAAGTCATGTCGAAGTAAAGCTTGGTAAATACTCCATCTCACGAAATAAAAGAATTCTCAGAGAGAAGATGGCTAGAACAGTGCAGCCAGGGAAAAGTGAAAGGCCAAAACACCTGGCAATGAAAATTTTGCCTGAGAAAGTAGAAAGCCTTTCCGCAGGTAAGATAAACATAGATTCGATTTCCAATCCTTGGTGTTCGGCCAATGGAATAAAAAACATAGAAAACTGGAAAGGGGTAAAATGATAAAATGTGATGCTAAAGCTAGTACTAGAAAACGCTGGCAAGAAGCAGTGCAGCTACTAGCACAAGGAACTTCGTTGACCAGCTACTGGTACACAAGAAACAGCAGTGAAAGAAGTAGTCGTCATCGTCGTCATCATGTTCGCCTGCTTGCTGCCGCCGTGCGCACTCAATAGATCTCGTGCGACGGGTAGGCGTAGAACTTGAACCTGATGTGCCAGCCGGGTGTGGGCACGGGGTGCTGGGTGATCTCGCAGCGCGCCGGGTCGCCCTGGGTGGGGTCGCCACCGCCACGCTCCATCACGTAGAACACGGCCGTGCCGGCGGTCGGGTTGGCGTACGCCCAGAAGCTGAAGTTGTCCTTCTTCCAGCCGGTCAGCACGCCGCTCTCCGTGCCGCAGCGGAATCGGTGCGGGTCACAGCCGGGCTGCACACGTCCACCACCTAACAAAGGACAACATAAGTACACCAAATAAGGATAAGTGAAAGAACAACCCGAGTTGAGGGTATTCGATGAGTCATGTGACAGAGTGTTTTTTCTTCACCTGTAAGGCTGTATAAGGTTTTTTCTACCAGCCTGTCGCCACTAAATCTTGCCACACATGGACAGAGAGGCCAGCTTTGTCTTCAAAATGGGTGAAGTGTGTACACAGTTACACGACTATCCATATGCATGGGACGTCACATAGTACGTTTGCCTTTTCTGTACGCACTCAACCCAGAAATGGGCACTGTGCCACTCGACTAGCTCCCATATAAGGCGGATTTGAAGTGGTTGCATATCCTCTATACCCTCTGAGTAAACATGACAAACTTGGCAGATATGGCAGTTATGAAGGCCAGTAATGAGGGCATACACGTGTTTAGAGTACATCTTAGGTTCACTACAGAGCAATGGACGCTGCAGTTACAATAACAATGAGGCTACAAATTAGTGATGGACACGGATACTCTTTAGCACTGCTCTTGAAGACGTGCTACTGGTGATCCACAATAAGGTGATCCTCAATCACCGAGTCTTTTTTTTAGCTCCATGGCGTCTTGGTTTGGGTAAAGGACAGCAAAGTTTTTCTTTCTTTCAGATTTGCTTGCACATAGAAAGTCAGACTCGGACAGAGGGCCAATGACTAATTTACAGTAAATAAAAAAAAGAACTTTCTAAGTTGGAAGGCTGTTGGAGTGCGCACTCAAGACGTGCTAGGGCTGATAGCCAATTAGTTGTAGAACGTTGGTAGTAGGGACCTTTCGCATTTGCTACGAAACGAATGCGAAACGAAAGTTTGATTCGGCTCGTAATCGTTTCGTTGAAAACAGATTTCAGGTTTCGCAAGTCGTCATGCAAATGTGCATGGCAACTACGAATACGGCCGCGGGCGACGGTAGCTTGGCGTACGGGTTTTTACACGCACACGTGCATGGATCATGGAATCAAGGGAAAAATGTGTACCTTGCAAAACATGTGTACCTATCCAAATAAATGTGTACCTGACGGATTCGGAGCGTGCCACGAATGAAGAGGCTTCCATTCGTGAAAACGAGTTCTCCGCAGGGACTCTGACGAATCCTCGAACCCAGGTGACGAATCAGCATTCGTTTCGTATCCGTACGCGGGGTGCGAAAGGTCCCTACTATCGGTCAGTGTCGTGCAATGTTATCGCATGAGCTGATTGTCAAGTAAGTGGTGGTGTTAGTGGACATTATAGCCTAACTTGTAGTTCCTTGATCCTTTTTTATTTACTATAGAAAGTCTTCATTATAATTTAGGACAAGACAGCAGAATTGGGCCAGGCTGCTACTCAATGCTTCGCAGTTCAAGAAAGAGTTAAAAAGCAAATTTATCAACCAGTGAAGGATTCCACCAAACGTTAACACCGTTGGAGAGGTGTTTCCTTCAGCTTTCCAGTGACATCTGATTGTTTGCTATAACAAAGCCGGGCCAAGCGTGACAATGAAACATCCGAGTTGCTTGTTGCGTTGCCAAGAACTGCTACGCAGCATGTGTCATCGCTATTGAAAGCCAACATGCAAGCGTCTCTGAATAGCCGCAGACGGGGCTATGGCATGGCAGCGTGACAAGTGGCCTGATATAGCTGTGCTGCAGCTAAGCCAGGTGCTAGGTGTTGAATAATACGATTATGAAACAGCTATGAGTACCACCTAGATAGATACATGCACAGTGCACAAAACGGAACATGCATTAGTTACTATTTCCAGCTTCCAAGCCAAAGGGCGATAGATGTATGGTACAAGAGCAAGCAGTGGCTTACCGGCTTCAGAGATGAAGTACTGGGTGGTGCCTGGCACCGGGCTGGTGAAGGCCTTGAAAGCCGTGACACGGCGCCAGCCAGAGTCTGGCTCATTGGTGCCCTCCAGCGCAAACTTGAAGCGCTTGGGGTCGCCAAGGTGAGCGTTGGGGTCATCGCCCGACAGCATGACGTAGATGTTCTGCAGGGCTGGGTTGAACGACGGGTAGGCATAGAACGTGGACTTCACGTACCACCCGGGCAACGGGTTGGGATCGATGGCAATCGTGCAGCGTGCGGGGTCACCAGCAGCTGGGTCTCCTCCGCCACGCTCCATCACATAGAACGGGATTGTTCCCGGCGTGGGTGTCGGGTACGCGTGGAAGGTGAAGTTGTCCCGTGTCCAGCCGGTCTGAACGCCGCTGTCGGTGTGAACGCGGAAGCGGTGAGGGTTGCAGCCAGGATGAACCGGACCACCACCTATAACAACAGGCACATGGAGGTAGATTATGGTCAAATGCGACCACTTAGTATTGTCACTAAAGATGGACGCATATGCGCCGGTATGGAGGAAATCAGTTGCACGACAGTTGAGCGTAATGACCACGTGTAACCGTATCCGAGGCTGCATTAAATGATTTTTCATTGTGCAACGAACGGTAATAAAACAACACAAAATGACCCTGGCTGAGTATGGCACACGTAGCACTTCATTGCGCAACAATGATGAGCGGGAGAGTAACACTTACCAGTTTCGGACACAAAGTACTGGACGGATCCAGCAACCGGGGAGCGGAACGCCTTGAACTCCATCACCTTGAACCAGCCAGCCTGGGAAGGGCCGTGGCCATCGAGCGAGATATTGTTGCGGAAGGGATCGCCCTGGCTGGCACGGCTATCGTCACCGGCCGTGTACACGTGCACGGGCATCTTGTTGGGGTCGTCGGCCGGCACAGCGTGGAAGATCAGTTTGGTGCCCCAGCAGTACGACGGGCACGGGTTCAGGGTGATCTCGCAGCGTGCGGGATTGCCAGCGGCCGGGTCTCCACCGCCGCGCTCAAACACGTAGTGCGGAACAGTGCCCGCAGCCGGCGCCTGGTACGCGTAGAAGATCAGCGAGTCGCGCGTCCATCCCGTCGGGACACCGCTGTCCAAGGCAACACGGAAGCGGTGTGGGTTGCAGCCAGGGTACGTTGGTCCGCCACCTATGCATGCAGCCCCATGAGACAACAAAGGAGACACACACATATCAACTATACAGGCTACACAGTTCTCTTGAACATGTAGTACACCTAGCCTTGCATCATCTACACAATAAAGCAATGCAGAACTGCTTTGTCATGCTTGCTGTGTGTGTGTGTGTGTGTGTGTGTGTGTGTGTGTGTGTGTGTGTGTGTGTGTGTGTGTGTGTGTGTGTGTGTGTGTGTGTGTGTGTGTGTGTGTATGTATATGTGTGTGTGTGTGTGTGTGTATGTATATGTGTGTGTGTGTGTGTCGGTCAATTCATCAGCCTTGCAAGCTGTTGAATGGTGTAATCCCAGCACAAGTTGCTATGTCTAACATAGCTGTTCGCTATCATCGCTTCCGCGATGGGCATGTCTAAGGTGTGTGTGTGTGTGTGTGTGTGTGTATGTGAACTGGCCATTGTGCATGAAGGTCATACACACCCACATGCACACCCACAAGAGCGTGCACATGCACGCACATGCAACTTTCCTGGAGCAAGGTGCATTGATAAGAACGTCTCGGGGGTCACGAACATATGGCACATATGGCTCGAGTGTCAGTGCAATGTCAACAAGTGACACTATGCTAGACTATACAAAACCAGTGTATCCAGTGATCTCAGCCAGATCTGGTGACCAGAAGGGCCATCACGTGCCATTTCTCCCATTGGCAATGACGCAGGCAGATCAGGAAGCCGAGACAGACGCATTGTAAACAGAAAAACAAAGCCAGGGCCGTGCCGGCGTCAGCTGGTCGCCTGCCCTGCGAATGGCGATGCCTGCGTGCATACTCTACACACCTATCAAGCAAGGCCTGCATGATACCACACTAGACTGTAGCACAAACCCAACCCCAAGCCACTGTGGACTGTTTGGCAATAGAATTTAGAAATGCCAACACAGTACACAAGGTGCAGGAGCACGCAGTCTGCTCTCAGATCCAGACAAGAAAAAATGGGTCAGGACTCAGAAGCACTGGAGAAAGCTTTCTGCGCTTTGGCCGCGACACCTTCCATTAAAAATGCATAGACGGAAACACGTGGCGCATGGCATGGCCCGAGTGGATTTCTCTTGTCGTCTTGATTGCACTTGTACTGCGGCGATCAAATACTACAGTACAATGAGTGCAAGACCATCGCAACCACAGACAGAAGCGAAGACATCAGGGCCACAGAAAGAAGAAAAAAGAGGCGAGGGTGACTAGTGCAGCGATAGTTCTTGTTTGAAATTCATCCCTATACAATCATGCAACTTCGGACCTCGCAAGGTAAAGCCAAAATCGTAAACGACCTGGAACTACACAGCAGCAGCCGCTCGCGATTCCGACCGGGGACCACAGTGACATACATTCATACACGAACTGGTACCCTGATGTACACTTCGCTCAAACACAAAGCCAATGCCCACAACCGTGAACGACACTAATAATTGTTCCTCTTGGCCAGCTCCGGCAAACTGCCCAGGACGCCCCAGATCCACACCACCCACTGCCAGGGCCACTTGCAGTGCTCCATTGAAGAATGAAGTGGGGAAAGTATTCACGACATGCCCCCTACTACTAGGCCTAGCTAGCATAATAATTAATATTATTATCATTATGGTGAAGAACAGTAGCATTATATGGCCATACGGCAAGCAAATAATACAGTTCAAAGAAAACCCACCAGTTTCGGAGACAAAGATGGGAATGGTGCCAGGAATTTGCTGGCGGAAAGCCTTGAACTCATGCACTTTCGTCCAGCCGCATAGCTCTGGGCTGTCGGAGATCTTGAAGCGGCGAGGATTGCCCTCGTGTGCAGTGTGATCACTGCCAGCCGTGAACACGTAGACAATGAATTCCATCTTGGACGACCACCTGATTCCTACAGGACCAAGGAATTGTGATTCGCTGAGGGAAGACGGGATCCGTTATAAATTATGTTGGGTGGACTAGACTGGACTTGCAGCAGCAGGCCAGCAGCCTTGCCACGTCCCAGCCAGCCAGCCTAGCCTGCTGATAAAATCCTTGAGCTAGCTGACGTCTGCCACATGTCCATGTGCATACGTGTGGTGCGTGCCAAAGCAGGATGTTTTGCTGTTTTTGGATGTGCACGTGGATCTCGTACATGTAGATCGTACTTCGTAGACGTAGAGTAGCCTCGAGTACATAACCAGATAACCATGATAGTAACCCCGGAGACTACTTTAGTCTTGGGGGTGGAATTGGGTAGACTGTATGCACTGCATGCGATCAGCTGACATGACGTGTCGTTTGATTTCGTGTCAGATCATGGCCATATCGTATTCGTATTCGCACATCGAATTCGTATTCGTAGCTCTACAATCCCTGTCTATAATCGTTGCATGTAATGTTGATCTTGTGAATTCCGTGAATTCATCATGAAGGACATGAATATGTGGAGATGAAATTTATTTGAAATGTTTTTCGATGAATCACTGGAGAATATCTTCCTACATGATGGTAATAAACAATAGCAAGAGTCCATTTATAATGTTTATGCACTCTTGACAATAGCCAGTGAATTATTATGGGGGTAGCTTTATTGATTTTGTGTTTGTATTATGCAGCATCCCGGGTCATTTAAGACCATGGGGAGTACTGCTGTTGTATGTGAAGAAAATATAATAAGGGAGACTGAGAAAAAAAGAAAGAAATAATGTGAACAGCAAATCTACACTGATACATGTACAATCTATTATACAACTACCGTAAAATCCCGCCAGAGCGCCCCTACCTCCTCGTCGCTTCAGGTGGGGAGGGGCGGATGGGCGAGTCCTACTTGCCGCATTCAGTGCAACATGAAAAAGTACTCACCCTACGAAAACTGTTCGTGCATCTCGTACACCGACCAAAGGTCAAGAGCCAGGAGTCGTACAGACCCGTCAAAACTCAGGGTTTGTGCGATCCCTGGTCAAGAGGGTACCTAGGGTGGGCATTGTTGCGTACATTTCCAACGGGGTCGAGCACGCGTCTGCAGTACAGTACGGCATCACAGACTGCGACAGAGTCATACGAGGATACATCCCTGACAAGAAGTCAGGGAGGGGCGGATAGGTCTGGCGGGATTTTACGGTAATCTGCTAGAAAGAGACTTGACACAAGCAGGTGCAGTAATAGCAAGAGAGCTAAATCAGAAAACAAAATCCGTTGAAAAGTAACCGTCATCAAATCTGAAATCGAGCCCTTCAGCGACACAAGAGCACTGAAGGCAGCGATATAATTCTTCTCATTCAACATCAGTGAAGCACCGTCAAAACCGGTGAATGGGGGCTGATGGTATTATTGTTGTCTTTGTTATTGGCAAGTGAAGTTAATATTACGATCATCATGAATTATTTTCTGCAAATAGGTGCTTCAACTAATAGTCCCGGCGAACCATGGGCATTCGCAAACCAATGCCAAGTAACTTATTAGAGTGTAATTATTATTTCATCTGAGTTATGACCTGATGATGTCAACTGTGCCAAGGAGCGCCTCCTTTTGCAAGATCGATACACTGGCTCCGGCATCCAGTTCCCTCACAAAGTCAGCAGTCGAGGGGGTTAAGCCACCTAATGCCCCCACAATCACTGGCACGATCTTGGCCCACACCTGCCACATCTGCTCCACCTCACGCTTCAGGCCTTGATATTTCTGTATCTTTTCCACAGATTTTCGGCGGATATTCCTATCCAGAGGGACACTTACGTCCACAAGGAACGCTTCATCTTTGCCCTTGATAATAATGTCGGGTCTGTTTGCTCCAACGGGCGCTGCTGTTGGAAGTTGGCACTTCCCAGTAGATTGACACATCCGTTTCAGCACTGTACACGACGTTGGTGAGTTGGCGACTTGTGTACTTATTCGAAATGTCCGATGCACCATACTTCCTGCGCAATGTCCAGTGGAGATATTTTGCTGACCTGTTATGGCGATTGACATAGTGACTTCCCATAGTGACTTATTATTATTATTATTATTATTACTCAATGATGCAGACAGCCAGACTATTATTATTATTACTAGTTAAGTTAGGTTGATTGTTCCAACTAGGAACACACGCTTCTTGCCGAACTTGACACTTGACTGACTCACGACTGCCATCCGGAGCACACGAGGAGCACGTCGCACCTTCCTCTCGGCAAACCTGCAAGAAAGCACCACTCCCTGCTCAATACACAGTGTTTCGGGGAATTCACCCCTCATCAGTTCAGCTTGACTCGGTAGGCTGAGGAAGATTGTGCCTGAAAAGCACCACTTATATACTGCTCTCGTGGCAGTCGTGAGTCAGTCAAGTGTCAAGTGTGTGTTCCTAGTTGGAACAATCAACTTCATGACTATTACCGCCGAAGTCGCAACTTCTAAGTTATTATTATTATTATTATTATTATTATTAAATTTTGATAGGGCAATCCCACAGGCCTAAGGAATAGCTATACTTCTATTTTTTTTACTTTTGGAGAAAATGTTTTATGAAAGGTCTGTGGAAAAATAACACAGACCTTTCATGAAACTTTTTCAAATTTTGTCCATATGCCGGTAAAAATAAAACCATAATTCGTTGTACCTATTACTAAAAATAAAACCGTAGGCTATACGAGGACTGAGGAGGCTAGATCATAGAGAAGGCTCTTCTCCAGAGATTCACCGAAAAATATTGCCAAATTTCATCTCCACCTTGCCGATAAACTCAAAAATGCAGTCAAAATGTAGTCAAAATTACCCCTAAAAATTTGTACCACCCCAGCCACCTTTTAAGAGTCGAATGGTCTTGGTCCGAGGAAGCTGAGACGCTCCCTTCCGAAGGCTCCTTTATTCCCAATCGAACTCGCACACTTCCACCAAAAATGGGTGACTGCACCCTACTAGATGGGGATTTGTATGTAAAATGTCACTAAAAGCACCATTTCCTTCTTATAAAAGCACGGTTGACCGCAATTGGCCCATGGAACTACAAGTTACCGGTACGCTATAATATGATTAATATCCACTAACACCACCAGTTACTAAACAATCAGCTCATGGCGATAACATTGCACGGCACTGACCGACGGTACTGACGTTCTACAACTACTAACTTGAACTGCATCGACATGCATGAACATCCGCCACCATCCTTCACAGCTGAGACTTTCAGCTCATGCTTATCTTGGTCGCGCTCACCTTCCCCTCCTTATGTTATTTCTATAACTTAGAACCTTCCAAGTTGGAAGGCTGTTGGAGTGCGCATCCAAGATGTGCTATATAGAGCTGTTAGCCAGTTAGTTGTAGAACGTCAGTACCGTCGGTCAGTGTCGTGCAATGTTATCGCATGAGCTGATTGTTTAGTAACTGGTGGTGTTAGTGGACAGTATAGCGTAACCTGTAGTTCATTGCTCCCTTTTCTTTTCTATAAATTAATCCTTGGCTCTCCATTCGAGTCCATAGTCATTATTGCATACTTTAACATCATTGTTTCGTATGGATAACCCCCAGTCGCGATAATTCCACTGATGATTGTGACATGAAAACCGATTTTGGAAACGTTCTTGACTTCTTTGTCGTACGGTGATGACGGCGGAATTTGTTCAATATTGCTATTTTAAACCCACCTTCACTTCCTTTCCCCAGGAGACTCCCTTTGATAGGCATCCATTTGCCTCTGGAGAATCCTTGAAAATATAATAAAAAAATTAAAAAGTGTTATCTCCTCGTTGTTTATTTTTAAATTCTAAAATTGCAATTATTTTCAATTTTCAATTATGTATATGGAATGTGGCCAGATCTCCCAACCAGATCTCCCAAGCCAGAGTGTTTGTGCTGTGCGTAGGTTTTGTAATAGAAAGTCTTCCGAGTGTACAATCTTCTGCTAGCTAGTCCTGACTGTTGCAATCCGTATTCCGACTCTTGTTTCACTGTATTGTGCCGTGGTCGTCATGGTTATGGACTTTAATTTTTTTGGAAGCCATTTATCAGCGTTTGTACGAGCCGAATTTGTGTGTACAGAAAGATAGAATACATGTACATGTTTGAAACTCGGATGTTGAGCCATAAATAATTGTAGAAAGGAAAAGGACATATGGATACGAGTTAAGAGTAACTCTCCATCACTGTAACATGATACTATATACAGTCAGAAAGTGCAATAACTAGGCACAAAACTGACAGAGTACTGGGACATTCGACGTCCTGACACCTAGCTTCAACACATCTCCGTAGCGCTAACCGACAGCCTTCCAACTTGGAAGGTTCACGGTTATGGAAAGACCAAAGAGGGGAAGGCAAGCGCAACGAAAACGAGCAAAAGCTACAGTCCCAGCGGAACACAGAATGTCGATAGTTACTGGACGATGACGAGACCAGTACGATATTTGACAAAGCCGTGAACCTTCCAAGTTGGAAGGCTGTCGGTTAGCGCTACGGAGATGTGTTGAAGCTAGGTGTCAGGACGTCGAATGTCTCAGTACTCTGTCAGTTTTGTGCCTAGTTATTGCACTTTCTGACTATATAGTATCATGTTACAGTGATGGAGAGTTACTCTTAACTCGTATCCATATGTCCTTTTCCTTTCTACATTTATTTAGAACGAGGTCTGTCTCGTTGTCCAGGAAACGACCAATCAGCGACATTCCCGCCAAGGGCCTTATCAGAGTTTAAAGCCCGCTCAATCGTTATTTTACTACTCTTGATGACGCGTCGAGGGCCTTGGATTAGTTTAAAGCCCGCTGAATATGCTCTAAACTGGTGCGTACAACTCCCTGTATGCATTATAGTACGGTGCAGATAATGAACTCTGCATAAAATGTACGGTGTACTACTAAAAGCTACGCATTTCAGAAGTGTGTACGGTTTTTGCCTCCCGTATTCTTTCATCTGTACGAATTTCCTTTGTCAACAGCTTGCGGAAACCTATAAAAACCGAAGATCGAAGTCATTAAAGGTATCGACAAGGGGCTCTCAAATCC